GCAGTTTAATTTGCCATAGGTGGATGAAGGATGAGCTGTGCTTTCTGGCTTTTTTAGCCTAAAACCTGGAATTCTCTGCAGCCACTGGCAACTTGTTTGTTGAAACATTCACTTGTGAACAGCCAGAGCTCAAACGTGTGATCATTTTCCATTACGAGCCAGAGGCTCTTACTGTTAAAATGYCTGCTCAGTCTTAGAGTAAAATCTGTTGTTTTATGAGTACTGGGTTGGGTTTTTTTGCCTGAAGGAGAAAAGTATTCTAACTACTGTAGAATATATTCCCACAACTCTTGGTATACACTTAGAACAGAGGTATAGCTGCCACATTTTATGAACATGCAGAAATCTCTTCTCCTCTGTCAAGGAAACGCTATATTTATGGTTTTGGGGTTTTTTTTTGAGTTATTCTTGCTGACTAAATTTGTTCATTTATTAATAGGAAAAATTTAATCTTGCATAGCTAATCTCTCCATATATGACAATTATATATCCAAAGAAATATGAAATAATTATACCATGCCGATCAGTAACTATCCTGCTGCCTGAAAGGCTGAGAAAAAACAAATGTTTATTTCTTTTTCTTCCTTTTTTTTTAAAGGCTATTGCAAACTAATTTTAAGTTATAAATAATAATACCTGTCTTAAGTACCGATTTGTTAGTTCTGGTATTTAAATACATGGTTCAAGAAACGAAATGCATTTGAGACACCTCCGATTCAATTTTAATTAATACTGTCAGRTGTCTGTATTTCTGGTGAGCTATCCTCACCCTAGGATCATGAACTGAGACTGGATTCCTCTCCTGCCTAGCTGAAAATCCTGACAGGCAGTGCAAATTACAGTTCACAGTAGTTTCATTCCCTGAAGTGGCCGRCTCAGCTGTTCTTTGCCTCTCTTCTTGGCAAGGCTGGCTAGGAGGTGCTTCCAGCCATTGGCTAGTGCTCTTCTGATTGCCTGGGACAGTCACAGGCCATTCCAACACTCGCTGTGTGTTTGATTCTTGGTTTGTCACATTAAACCCTACCCTAAATCGCCACAGTTTTGCTCTTTCAGTCTCATCACCAGCCGGTTTTACAGTGGGTTTTGTGTCTGACTTCTTGCTTTGTGAATCTGTAGACTTCAGGGCTGTAACCAAGAAACTGTAATCCACCCTGTGGAAACAGCCRGGAGAAGAAAAGGAAAAATCAAAGGTCATTCATAAAAAAGAAGCTCTTCAACTACTTTGATGCACATGGATGTCTGTCACAGCTTTTGGTAAATTGTGATGCAGGAGCTGCAAAACAGGGATGCAGCCACRTTGCCATTTTCTCTCTGAAATGGCTGTAGGCTGTTGGTGAACAAAACCTCTGCCTATGTCCCTTCAGGGTGACATCTGTGTGCTAAAGAAAGYGTATTTAATGATTCAGTAGTTGGAAATTCCCCTTAAATATCCTCCARATTGTGCCTCATGTTTGAGAGAGACCTGAATGTGTGCTGAACACTGATTATCCCTGATCTCTTATATGGCCCAGGATATACTTTTTGGCTTTAAGAAATGACCCATATATTAAAGAAAATTATTCTTCGTGTCTGGCTGAAGAACACGAAGGTCTCATCTGTGACCAGGTACATCTTTAAGTCTATTTTAGATTTTTTTTTTTTTATTATTTACTGCAGATTGTTTTAGTGGTAATTATGCAGTCCAGTAGATGTGATAAGATATTCTACATTGAATTGGATAGTCCTTGTGTTGTAGTAACTTGCTTTAGGGAAAGAACACAGCTTTTGGGACCTATGTTTCTTCCTTTGCTTGCTCTRTAGGCTGCTAATTCACATTTTATAGTGAAATTATAAAATTGCCCCAGAATAAGGATGGAGAGTCAGATATCTTCTTTATATTCTTTATCTTCTTTGACACAAGGTGGGTACTGGAGTGCTGGAAGGCTGGGGAAAACTCTGGATAATGTTTTTTTTTTTTGTTTCCTGGAGGACAAGGCAACTTCATGAAGATGCTTAATATTATCTGTGTTATAAATGCTACCAAATATCACCAGCTGGACTCTATTGGATCACAGCTGGATGTTGTATTTACAGAAATCTAAGCACCAATATGAGCATGAAGAGCACACCTGGGAAGTAGCCACCCTTAAACCTTTTGAAGCACAGTGGTAGGACCTTGGAAGGAAAGCTGCACTGTTTTATTCCTGTGTGACCCTTCTCTTTGGATCRAATGGAGAATTTTAAATTCTGAAGTAGGAAATTTTATATTTTCATGCCAATGTGACCACTTACCATGGTTTTAATGTGTAAAGTTGAAATATGTACTTCCTCAGTGAAATGCTTGCAGTCACTGTCYCTGGATGTTTCTTACTGTTCTGTGTGTATTGTAAATAAATAGTGTTGACTTGCCAGTAATTGCTTTCCTTACTGAAACTTGAATTTAGTTTGCATTTAGATTTGGAGTAAAAGGAAATTGCTTGCTTTTTTTTTTTTTTTTTTTTTAATTTTATGATTACTTCCCTTCATTATTTGGGAAGGAATGCAATAAACTATCTCCCAGAAAGTAAGTTGAGTCAACTTACCTGAAGCAAGTGAGAGGATAGGATCATGGTGCTGGTGAGGAATGGTTGTTGCCTGTGCCTCTTTCAGACCACCCCAAAGATAAATTATCCTCCTGAGAATACCTGCATCAGGCTGTCACTATTTCCTTACGACTGACTTTCGACCAAGCCCTCATTCTTCAGCAGGAAAAATATTTTGTTGAAGTAGTTTTTGACCACTTCTAAGGCAAGCAGTAATTAATTCCACAGATATAAAAAATTAATGGCAATACAAATCTTAGGAGCTCAGCATCTGTGCTGAAAATAATAAWAAAAAAAATAGTGATGAGCCCTGTGAATCAGCAGGGCTGCAAACTCTRGTTCCTAGGATTCATCTGAGAGCTGTCTCCAACACTTTCCCAGAGTTGAAAAATTGTGTGAGAACACAACCTCTTTCTATAAACAGAAGGACTACCAAGGAGATGTGTATCTGAAAATGTAGTATTGATTTTGAAATATCTGAAGTGTTTTAATGAGGAAGGCTTTTAGCATGCATTTTGTATCTTCACTGTGCAGTTCCGATCACGTTGAATCTGGTGATAGATTTCTTCCACACGCCAAAGAGTTCTGGCTGTGTATCTGCAGTTCAGGTCCTCTTCTCGCTGTTATTTAGCAAATAGCAAATATAGGTTTAGCTTGGGGTTGAATGGAAACTTATTGCTGTTTAAAAACAACCCAGCTTGGAAAAAGCCTGCTTGCAAACACGAGAAAGTAACAAAATATGCTAATTGGTTTCTCAGGAAAAATGCCCAAGCGCTGAAACTTTTCACACGGGCTATTTCGCCGGGAAGTGTGTCAGTGTMATACACAGATCTACACTCTCTGTCTCATCTGTGAATGGGGAGTTTTCACGGGGGTTGGGAAAAACCTCCGTTCCTCGCCCTCAGTCCCGGACACACAGCATGAGCGCAGCCCTTTAGGGCTTTTTCTTTTTTCCTTTTCACACAATGGGGCAGTCGCTCTCCATTATTGATGGCTCGTGTGCTTATCAGGGGCAGCATTGGGCAGATAAGCTATGTTATGTCAAAGCTTGCTGTAAATACTTTCTGGGRCTTAAACTCAGTAGAGGAAACGCTGAAAACATCATTGCAGAAACCGAGTGGGAGATGTTGGTTTTCACGCTAAAACACGCCAATTTCTCTTTTTGCTTAGTTTTTGACGGTTTAAGGTGAGGGTGAAAGAAATTAWCTGGAGAACTGTGGAGCAGGCTGGTCTGAAGCGCGGGAGGCCAGGTGAGGAGGGCGAGCTCCAGGGTCACGGGGGTTCGGTGCAG